TCCATGGAAAGGGTGCTCAGCCCTTGGCACTGCACAGAGAGCTCTGCAGTGCCCATCCCTGGAGGTGTCACCTGGAGGTGGCGCTCAGGGCTCTGGGCCGGGACAGGGTGAGCATTGGGCACAGCTGGCACGGCCTGGGCTGGGAGCGCTGTTCCAGCCTCAGTGATTGCGGGATTCTGTGCCCGCGGCAGGGAAGGAGCCGGCGGGGCAGGAGCCGCGGTGGGAGGGAGGGAGCCAAGGCACCTCCCGGGCCGGGATCCTGCAGCAGACGGACACAGCCATTGCCATCCTGCAGTGCCAGCACTGACAGGACTATACATGAGAAGCAGAGCTCACACCAGCTGTGACCACAGCACTGGTGGCCCCGGGCACGGGGTGAGGGACAGAGCTGCAGAAAAAGAGCTGACAAGTGCCAGGTGTGGATGTGGATATGAGTGAACACACTCCAGCAGTACTGGTAAAACCAAACCTCTTGAAGATAAAAGAACAGAAAGAAACCACTGCCAGGGGAAGTAAAGAGGAAACTCAGCTCCGAGCTACCCCAGCACCCTCAGCAGCATTGAGTCACTGGCTGTGAACTGGTCACTTGTCACCGAGCTGAGCTGTCCTTCCACGCTGGTGCTGCGTCCTTTTACCAAAGTGCCTGGTTGGTTACAAGGAAATGGAACAGAACGTGAAAAATGCCTGCACAGGAAAAAAAAGGAGTATTATGCACAGACAGACAAGCAGACAATAAAGATCTGTCCTCAGCCTGTATTGGAGAGTAGTTCAGAAGTCAGGTCTTTGTTTTCCAGTCATTGCAACGGGAACACTAGAATGAATAAATCCAAATCAAGTATCACAACTCAGTGGTCCATCCAGACTTCTGGATGCTGACTCTGGATAAAATCCTCTAGCCTGGACAATCTTTCAGTTCCCTTCCTCAGTCTGCAGAATTCATGGATCTTTTAAATGTTACCCAAACCAAGAAGGGACTTAATTATTGATTCTAACAAGAGGAAAATTCCTTCTTGCTGCAAAGACTGAAGTATCCACACCCCAAATTAACACAAGTACACAAAAGCACCTTAACAGTTTACTTACTCTTGAGAAAATTTCAGCTTTAAATTTAACACACCACAATTTTTTCTTCCTCTACTGACAAATTTGCTCTGTTTGTTGAATAATATGGTTCAACCCAATGGGTCTGTTCAGAGAGAAACACAAATGAGACCAACCAATGCTTCCAGCACCAGAACATAATCAGGAATGGGAATTTCACAGCCTGGCCTTTCAAAGTTGCCCCTACTGAGCACAAGGTTTACAGTCATTCTCCAGATGAAGTTATGTAGTTAAATTAGGTAATGAGGGTGCTTAGCTATTTCTAACAATAATATATCAGCTATCCTACTACAGATGAATATGCAAAAAAGTGGTTTTCAACAACACTTTATTGAAGCACTTCAAAATTATCACAATGATGCATGTTGCCTTTAACAGAATAAAACCTGTCATGTCATAATTAAAAGGCACTAATCCTGGCACAAAGGTCTACTTACCCACCTTCCACTGGGAGGGAAATAAAAACATCAAGTATTTCACTTCTCCTTTTACAGAGTATGTGCAAAGCCCCTGTGAGTGCCATTCTGAGTTTGCCATTGGAGTGGCACACAGAGAGAGCCCCTGTTTCACCAAGACATGGGGAGCAGCAGCAGCTGCAGCCCTGAGCAGCAGAGCCCTCTCTCAGGGTCATGCTCTGGTGAGACAAGTGCTGCACTCACCGTTTGGGAACTGAAGCCCTGAAGCTCAGGCACTCACACACATGATTTCTCACTGTCCATGTCACCTCAGAAACACAGCTAGATCTGTTCTGCAGCCCTTTTTGGGATCCACACTGTCAGGTCAGGGCAGGAGCAAGGCAGGGGAGCAGTGTGGGCATGCGGGGGGAGCACAGTTCCTGCACAAAGCAAACCAGGACGTGCCACTGCCAGCCACAAACGACAAGGGAAACCTCAGGGAGTTCAAAGCTTGATAATCCTGCTAAGCCATGCCTCAGGTTATTACAGATCCCTGCACAACACTCCTAGATTCAACAGACAGACTGTTTAAGGCATTTTCTTTGGCCTTTACTTCTACCAGAAAGTGAAGATTATGCAGTTTGATTTGTCAGCACCCAAAATCCTTCCAACCTGTTTCCATCAAGATGCAAAGGGAAAACATAAATCATTGAGGAACTGGATTATTGGTTCTACAGATGATGGAACAGCTGCACATTTGTGCATCTTTCCTGTTGCCAGGTGGTGGCAAGGAGCTGCTCTGTGCAGCTGCCCAGCCCTCAGCTGTCCCTGGCTGATGGGAGCTCCCCTGCTCTGTACCTGCATCTATGGAACCACCACCCACACTGCAGCTGGACAGGGACACTCCAAGGGAGCTCTCCTGCAGAGCTGTGGGGGCAAGCACAACCCTTCCTCATGCACCTCTGCTGCTCCAGGAGCACCTGCACTGAACAGAGCCACCACCAAGGGCTGGGAGCTGAGTTAAACCCAGGACAGCACAGTGCCCACACCCCACAGAGGCAGGACTGCTGTCAGCTCCCAGCTATTCACCACCACACAGTGTCTGCCTTTTCACAAGAGCTGCTTTTCTGAACATGCCAACAGTCAAGACCTGCATCAGGGGAGTTTCAGGACTGTGAGACATAAGTACGGCTATACTGATGTCAAATGCAATAAACTAAAATGCATTCCCAAAAGCAACTTTAGTGAAGAGAATGGGAAATTGAATCAGCCTCTTTTTACTGTCCATGCTCCCTACAGAGCCTGAGACAAGTAATCCTGGTGAGATTACATTTCTAGAACACAGCTGCAGCAGCCAAGTTCAGCAAACACCATTAATGCCTGTGCTGGGCTCCACACCTTTATTAGGCCAGACAAGATTTAACCTTGGACATTAAGTGCCAGATGAGTGTTGTTTTCAGTCCAAGGCTGGGAAGGTGTTGAGAAGGAAACAATTCCTCCTCTTTTTCAAGAAAAGGTACCTGGCAAGTTACTCAAGGCCAGAACCAGAACAATGCAGCCACTCTGAGGGCTCCTTGCTGCCCCAGCAGTAGCCAAGGGCAGCTGGCAGGGCAGTGCCACCACACTGTGAAACCCAGCTGGGCATTTGGGAGTGTTGCAAATGGACCTTGTAGAGCACACACACCATGGGGGTTCCTGTGCCTCTCCCTGCTGTTTACACCTAGAAACAAAGTGGTACTGAGATAGCACACCAAGCAAAGAGCTGTGGGGCAGTCATAGCACAGCTGATTTACTGAATGACTGGTGCTGCTATCACACCAACCAGGCTGACAAGGCTTAGTGCACTAACACTGTGTTCACATTGGTGTCTAGAGACATTTTACTTTGACCATGACCCGCAGGGAGCTCCCAAAGACACATGCACAGCATCTTTAACAGGTCACTAGTCCTTTCCCCAGCTGAGTTACACATGAAGGATGCTCAAACACCTGCACTCAGGACTAAAAACTGACCTGGCACAGCCCAGTAAGTCTGAAAGCTTACATGGAGACAAGCCTGAAACAAGACATCC